TTGTCTAGGTATAACTGATAGAGACATGCAGCCAGGTATAATAAAAGGCCTTTTTGTTTATAGCCTTTGTTCTAAAAAGCATCATTTTCCATCCTTGAACACCAAGTACTTCACAAATTTAATCTAAAACTGTGCACACTCAGCTGGGAGGGGCAGACAAAAGGATCTCCAGAGATGTTAAACATGAGATTACATTCCTCCTCCTGTGGGTTTTAGGCTCCCTTTTCAATTGGGATCTGTAATTAAGTATAATTCCAGTCATTCCTTACAAAAAAAAAAAGGCAAAATTGCGATAAAACATTTGTTTAAAAATACTGCTAAGAGAGTAGTATATTCTAGTGATAGATTGATTAACTCGGATATTACCCAGGAACTGGGAGTTTCACTTCTTTCAGCCTGGAGGGTTAAATCCACATTAGCCATGAGCCTTATACCTGTAAATTCTGATTGCATGCCCACTTCATTTTTCTGAAGCAAAGCTACTGCAGAAATTGATTGCAGAACTGCAAAATTAATTATCCTAGAAAAAAAAAGAAAAAAATGATTCAGTCAGTAAGTTAATAGAGCATTTGTAACCAATTAACATGGTCTAGCTTTTTTCTTCTTCGGATTGTACGTTCCAAGAAACATGTCTGTGAAGCTTTTTTTCCTCCTACAACTTTGTTGAGATATTCTGAACTGATTTCGTTTTACACGATCTGACTACATTCCTTCTAGTTAGTCTTAGCTGGACATCTCTCTCAGGTTATTTATGATCTATTCCTAGTTTCCTCATTGGATAGAGCAGGTGGCATGTAATTGCTCATAAATACAGTACTTTCTGTCTTGTCTTTGTTTTCATAGCCTTGAATGTTTTATCAACTTACTTAGCTACTAAAGCTTTATGCTCAGAAATAGTAAAGTGTGAGGAAAATAGATAAATTAGATGAATCAAAATCAGGCATTCAGAGTCCACTGTAGGCTGTGAACCCAATGAAATAATTGGGAAAGAATTTCAGTAAATGCAGTAACTGAGTGTGTGAAATGAAGTTTGGCTTTGAAAACTACAGAGACTGGAAGCAGGGAAGAAAACAGTAAGATAAGGCTGACAAAGAAGAAAAAAGTACATGGACAGGGTAGCAAACAAATTAGAATTTCTCTCATAGAAGAGGGAAAAAGATGGAAAACTCCACAAAGGAGAAATTTTGTGATGCTGTTGACCAGTAGATGGTGCATGGTGGGAAGGCTTTTTTTACCTGTCCTTAAGCATCTGCTGTAGGTAGATGAGCTGAGCTGAGCTAATCGTCTTAAGCTTCTGCATGCAGATCTATATTATCTATAGTATTTTGGTTATTCTTAACAACTGGACCAGTACCACAGTAGTCTCTCAGATTAGGCCCGGATGCTTCAGCTCCTGATGGAGGAGAATCTTGGACTACATTTGTAGAATGACAAGGGTGTTGGTACAATGATACGGAGAGAGAACTAAGTGAAATACTTCAAAAAAATTCCAGACAGTGAGATGGATAGCTCAGGGAAACAGCCTCCCAAGCAAAGTGTTTTTTTACAGTTGCCAGAAAAAATACACGTAAATATAAAACTGGTAGGAAGCCGTCTACTGGCTGGGGGAAACAACCTAGATGATTTAACAGACTTCTTGTGTCTCTAACATCTGGATTCAGGGAATTAATCTGAGCTAGTGGCATTCTGAATCTGCTGAGCTGGTGCTAAATCAGGAGAAGTAGGAATTCACAAAATGCACAGCTGCACTGATGACATTAGAAGGCAACGTGCATTGAAACTGGTAGTCACTCACCAAACAACATAAAACTTCTTTGTTAAATTTAAAATAATAATATCATTGGACTGGAAGAGACCTCAGAAAGGGGACTTCAATCATCCTACCATTCGTAACAGATGTCTGGTCTCATCCAGTGGTGGGATGCCACAGCCTCCTGGCTGCTCTGTCCCAGTTCCTCATGATCTCAGTGCCTCGCTTGAAGCTGCTTCTCTGGAGTGGAAGCTCAGTGCTCCCTCCCCTAGCCGCTACAGCCACGAAGCCCGTTTGGAGACCGTTACTGAGTGTGTCCTGCAGCCTCTCTTGCTTATGCTTCCTCCTTTGCCCCACTCCGAACTTTGAAATTTCTGTATGGAAGAAGGGTTTGAACCCTTCAGGCTTTCCTTACTTGTCATGATTATGGCATGTCTAGTCATCCTATTTACACGGTCTCAGTCGTGTCAAAACTTTCTTCCTGGAAACCCACACAGAAGCTTGCAGTATTACCAAAACTGAGAAGGCAAAAGGAAAACTTTGTTTTGGATATATACCTAGTTGTGTACCTTAGTGTGGCATCTATTTTCATAACAGCACTACCTCAAGGACTCTTGTTCAGACTGATCTACTGTATCTTTTTTGACCTACTGTATCTCTGTATCTTTTAAAAAAAACTGCTGTATAGGCTATCTCTCTCTCTTTCTATACAGTTGATTATTTATGTCCAAATTTAGAGTTTGCAATTGTCCCGGCAGAAATTTCATCCTGTTTTTTTCTGTCTGTTTCTTCCATTTGGCTGGTGATTCAGCAGATTCGGTGTACTCTCCCAAGTATTGTTTTAAAAGTAGTTAGTGGATAGAATTGCCAGACATCATAAATTGGGACTAATGGCTCATTATGCCATACCCCAAGGCAATTAAACCTGTACTTTCTTTGAAAGGGTCTGAATTTTACCTGAAGGTTAAAAAAAAAAGGAGCACAGATGCCTGTGTAGAAAAGGAGCCCTCTTCGTATGTGTAACTAAACATGCTCCGTTTTCAGCACTTTCTAATATAAGCCTGAGGCATTCTTGAACACTATTTCTAAGCATTTATTTCAAGACTTAACTGTGGTTTATAGCTCGTAAGTATCCTGCCCCACATTTCTTAGAGAATGTGGTAGACAAGAACTTGACCATTGATGCAATTAGGTGGCAAGTGGAGCAGAAGTCTTGTCAGTCCTCATTGCCGAGTGCTCCTCTAATGGCTCTCATTGTGGACATATTTGTGGTGGAAGAAACACTTTCTATTCATTTGTTTGAAATACCTTTCTTGGGTACAGTTGGTTCATTCTCGTTAGCCAGATCCTCTGAGGGACTTGCACAGGTACAAGAAAATTGCTAGTTTAATTGAACAGCTTCACCTTCGAAATACTCGGCCAGCACGTCTTCAGGCGTCAGAAAAGCTGCTGGCTGATACTCACAAGAATTACCTAAGCAGAAATTACTTGCACTGTTATGCCAGCTCTCCTTTCCCTGCTCCTTTAATTCTGGGTTATGTTCACCTTTTCTGTTGTTCAGTTGGTAGACTGGGTTGTAGCTTTCCAGGAGGGTACTGGACTGCTTATAGTTTGTACAGCACCTGAAGGACTTGTTAGGAACAACTGACACACCTTTGGAACTTGCCACAGTGCGAATAGCAATGAAAAACTAATCAGTGGACTGAAATGGTGGAAGGTTCAGTGTGCAGTCATAACAATTCCGTTGTGCAATGAAGGGAAAATACCAGGAAAGGCCAATGAAGGGTAAGTGCTTAATCCTGGATGCATGGGATCGCGTTGCAAATTCATTCCTCACGTACACTATTACTATTCTATAATCTCTGATCAATTTGCTACCTAGGTTTTCCATAAGAAGAAGATACCTTTCTGTAGAAAAATAACATGTAAAATATCCAATTCTAGGTTGTTCCAAATGTGGGCTTCAAAAGTTGAGAATAAGGAACTGTAATTTGTAAAGTGAGCTTTTTCCACAAGGATCAACAAATAGTTCTTTGCTAAGCAATATTATTAATCAAGAAAAGAAGACATTAAACATTACCTGCCATGTTGTGTTGTCATCACCGTCTTTTTACTGAATGAAATGTTTATATAACTACATATGAGAATAGTTTTAGCCTAAGAGATTTTTTTACTGGAACGGTTTGCTGGCTTTATACATGAAACCATACTGACTTCAAGGAAGAGAGTCTTCTCATTTGAACACAGAAGTACAGTCATTTTTTCCATGTGTTCTACTTCCTTTGTCAATTGCAGAACTTGTAAATTGATGAGGCCTTCAGGCATTAAATACTTATATAATAAAACTGAAAGTATTCTTGTCAAAGATGCTAAATGCAAAGTTGGATTAGGCAGGGTTGCTCACTATACATATGTGAAGCATCTAATTAGGTGTTGGTTTTAGTTTAGCTGAAGTATTTCAGCATTGCAGAAGCTGAAGCACAAGAGAATATGAAGATAATGGCTGTCCGTATTACCTACCTTAAGTAGTCCCATTTTACTTCTTAGGTTCTAAAACCATTCTCATGTAATTAAAGAACTTTTTTTGGGTTTGGGGGCGTGTTTGTACAAAAAAACCCAGGTTGGCTGCTTGACACACTGTTCACAACAACTTTACAGTTTTCCTAAACTGAAAATTGTTCTTTGAATAATTTATGAAATTATTTGGAAAGTACTTCGAGGTATGGCATATCTGTATTTTGAGTGGCATTTGTTAGTTTTAATTGCAGCCCTGTTCATACATTTTCATTCATGCTTGTGTACACCAATTAAATAAAAAAAGGACTAGTTTTTCTGACCAGATACCCATAATGAGTCTCAGAATGCATCACTGTGCTGAACTTTCTTTGAACACATTTACTAGAAAATTCCTGGAAGGGAAAGGAACGTACACTTCATATAACCACAAGAAAAGCGAACAACCCAAGTACTCTCTTAGAATCGGTATCGTCAGGATTTGGCATGGGTTGTGCTTCCGGTATGAAAGAACTGCGTGACATCTTTCTGGTGCATCTGCATCCACTTGATGCCAAACAATACAAATTGGTGGGACATGAAAACAAAACAGTTGCAGGGGTGGGGATTTAATTAGTGTTGCTTCTATATGAATTAGTTGTTTTATTCAATTGAGTTCTTCTGTGCCTAATTTGCATGGATATGATTTATTCTCACTTTCTGAATAATGTAACAGGGTTCTTTGTTTCATTTGAAGGGGTAGAGGACCACTGAAGAACACATCTGATGTAATTAATGCAGCAAAAATGATTTCAGAGTCAGGATCGAGGATGGATGTCCTCGCACGGCTGATTGCCAATCAGGTAGGTTATTTATGCAGTAGTGCATTAAACTCTCACAGATTAATCTGTCCACAGAACCTCCAACACTTAAGAAGGTCACTGACAAAAGCACTTGTGACATTTTTAGATCTACCTGTCTGATTTTTTCCTTTTCTTCTCGATTTCTGAAGGGATGGATACATAGATCCTGTATTAATTGTATGTGTGATTCTCTTCTTCATACGTATCAATATGGCTGTTTACATGCACTTAAAAACACACATAAATGTACGTGTACTTAGGTCACAGATGTGTATGTCCATACATTTATGTACATAGGTATTTGGACATATATTTGTGAGCTCCTTTAAGCTCTGAATGCCACATTTTAGAGTTACAGTATATATGAATAGATATGTATGTATGTACATAGAAATATATATATATTCATAGCTCCTTTAAGCTCTGAACGTAACATTTTAGATGCATAGTATAGTCAGTTCTTGACTGGTAAATTACCCAGAAACAACGTGAGTCAGCTTACATGTGGGAACACAGGATTGTTGCATTGGCATAGAGTTCTGCGGCGCGGGCTCACTGTTTTGGACGGGTGCTAGGTCTCAGCGCCGTGCTCAGTAAGGTTATGCGCTTTCCTTCTCTGTCTTTGAAATTACTTGTTCTCCGCCCTAATCTCTAGGGATGTTACAGAATCGGTGCTTTTGCTGTACCTAGGTTATCTTTCCTCTCTCTGCCCACCAACACTGGCTGTTTCTTTGGAGCATTGATGTCAAATGGGTTTCCATGTACATACCCTTTGGGAAAGTTGGAGTTTCGGCCTCTGCATTCCTG